GTATTTTTTTTATAAAACGTTTGATTAATTTTTTGGAAAACAAATTGTTATTTTTCAGTAGGCAAATACGTACCGTTGGCACAGAGATTGTGCACTTTCGTCCACCTATATTTTTATATACCTTTCTTTTTGTTTGCCTACAACCGTTCTTTATTCAAATAAACACGCACCACGTAGAATCTTTTTACTGATGAAATATTTCTACATATTTCCGGTTCGTAAATATTATTCCGCATATATTCAATAATCATGTGTCAATAATAATTAGAAGATACGTTACGCATATTCATTAGCACGCTTTTAATTAAGGATGGATATTAATTTAACTTGTAACATTCCACAAATAGCCATTCAAATTTGATAAATGAACCAAAATCAAATATTTGTGTGTATTTACGATAAAATATGCTTATATCACCACCAATCCTGTTTTGGGAAAGATTAAATTGCTATGATCTCGTGCATAAAATTAGTTTGCCTGAACATCTGCGATCTAACTCTCCTGACATGGTAACCCACACACGAACCGATTACCAGAGAGCAAAAAGCTTCAATCATTAAGCGGGTCGTTCAATACGCGCATTGTTCGAACATCCTTTCACTAGGGAAACTGTTCTGCTTTCTCTCTTCTCTTCAACCCTTCATTAACAAAAGATCAACCGTGTATTCGGAAAAAGCATTTATTCTCTTTTTGTTGCTAAAGTAATCAGCAAAAATAACTTTTATTAGAAGAATTCATTCGCATTTGCTGGTCATTAAGATTAAAAGAAATCAGGATCCGTTATTTTGTCTGTTAGCGTTACCATACGCGTTCTTAAACTGAGTGAGCGCGCCAGGACGAAATTTTAATTCGTCTTTGTACCTCTATCCACGAAACGTAGCCATTGTTCGTCACATAAAAGCACCATCAGATAGCGAATGTACGCGGACCACCACCGTGGGATATCGACCGTCTACCCGCGTTCTCTGCGTGCGTTTTCGAATGTCGTGCGTGTGCGTGTGCAGGTCGGAGGAACAGAGAGGAGACGCGTCACCGTTAACGGTGGTGGTGTCGTTTGATGGGGTTCGCCGATGGGGTGGGACCAAGCCGAATAATCGACCGGGTTCGTCCATCGTCAAATATCCGAGACAAACTCCTCGGGCTGTTTAATTACAAACTTTTCCCCACGCAAGTATACGAAATGGTACGTGACACCTTCAGTCCATCGACTTTCCCCTTTTTAGGGAATCTTTTATACCTTTTCGCCTCTCTTTTATCCGCTCAAGTGTCCATGAACGGGGAAAGCAATGTGATTGAACAGAGGTCTTCCATGGGAGTAGTCGATTGCTTTTACGGAGCTTCCTAGTGGATGTTGGTACTCGTTGGACTCTGTGGACACAAAAGCTGAAAGTGGAGGGACTGGTATGTTTACTTGTCGAAGGTTTGGGCACTGTTGATTGAAGCTTGTTGTTGTCTACTTTGTGGTTTAGTAGGCAGGCGGTTTTTTACATGAACAGCTGACGTTAGGGTCTCGTTTCCTTCGTTAGGGGATGATCCTTTATCTTATATAAATAATTTCAATTCTGAGTAAGAATGTGTCACAAGACGTTTCAACTCTTGTATATTATGTACTCTTAAATTAAAAAATTTCCTTTTTTACTCGGCGAAAGATGTTCTTGCAACATGAAACTGGAATGATGGTTAATAGCGTGAGAAAAGTAATTGCTGCAGTCCCACACGTACTAAAGAGAAATATCGGAGGGAACCGCATTTAGGATTTCAACATGAGAAATTACATGGATGGGCAAGTACCCACGGCAAGATTAAGTGCCGCGCCGTACTAGGTGTCCCTCGCGAACACCTCATCCGAAATTCATTGAAATCATTTTCGAACCCCATGTGTGCAGCAATTCCCAGACACAAAAAAGAATTCTCATTTAACATTTACGAAATCATTACGAACTCTGTTCGTTTTCTAGATATGTCATGACCCTACGCAGTCATGCACATTTGTAGATAAGCAAAATCGCGACCAGTTATTTAAACGTGTTTCTGAAACACTTTTATTGTACCATGTATAAATCTCGTAAAAATATTTCTCCCAGTGCCTTTATTCAAATCAGGGAACTAAATGCGGACCGTCGAAACCTTGAAATCCTCTGGCATTCACTTCCAAATATTATACAATACCTCCTTGATTCAGAGTGACACAAGCCTTCAGTTCGAGACCCGAATTCAACAAAAGTGATCCAGTCGCTGAATCGAATCAAGTGGTCGTTCCCTTGGTTTCCGTGCCGGCGCGTTCGCAGTTGAAAGACCGGTCTAGAACTAAATTTCAGTTAGACCTGTTTCGTTCCTTTTCAAGCGGTGACTTCATTTGTGCCTGCTTCCGACCGTAATTTGTGTATCGGTCATCGAAAAGCGGCTGCCCGCCGTTGGAAGGATGCATTTCCGGGTCGACACGGCGACGACACGTGTACTGAGAACTCGTGGGCTGAGGAACGGCGCGAGGACGCTCCGTTCCAGACGGGATATTAAACACACACGAGGCTGGGAACATTGGCTGCCGTACAGAAATGCCCGGAGGGTTCGTAAATATTTAGATCGACGCGACGTCGATTGGATTCGCGCGACTTTTCGGAAGTGGACACGCGATTCGATAAAGGGCCGGTCTATCCCTCGGTATTTGTGTGCTAACGAAATGACAAAAGTTTGTTTCACGCGAGTTTCTACGAACGTGGAAGTAGCATTAATCATGATTCCTTAGTACTGATATTCAGCAATTTTTTATTACTAAATTGAAACGTTTGCATTTTTCCAAACTGATTGCAAACTAACAATAGTTCCATCATAAGAATCGTTACTTTATATGAGTTGAAGAGACGAACCTTACGGATGGCTTCAAGCGAAAAATTCTACATCTCCTTTGCATATCCAAGGCCTTTGACACATAATTTATGTCGTAAAATTTTACAAGGAACGAGAAATATGTTTCCACCCAATTACAGAAATTCAATTTCAAAAGACAGAAACATTTTGAAAGAAAAGTACATCGTGTTCGTTAGCAAAGTGTTTCTCTTTATTAATCCTAGAAGGGTTGTTAGAGCAGTCTGTTGTGAGTAAATCATTCTATTAAGTATAGATATAATTTATGAAACTGATCTGGCTAAGCAGTAGTAATTCTTTGCTGCCGTGTTTATGAGAGCGTATAAAAGTGGTTGAAACCAAACCGTCGATATAGTTAAACAGATATTAAAAGAAATAACTATAGCTATATATTTTTTTAAAACTATAATTGCGAGTAAATTAAAATTGTCAGAAAAAGAGCTTAGCTGTAATTAGGCTTGCTGCTCTCCCTTAAGGAGGAGCCTAAACTTCAATTCTTAGCATATATTCTTAAATAGTAAAAATATCTATCTCATTGAGGGGATTTTTCTTGCATACAATTTACCCTCGTGAAATTAGGATCCCATTTCACGGAGGGAAGCAACTTTCATTGCGGTCTGGCGAAAAGTTGTAAAATTAATTTGCACAAGTTGCTTTCCACTCTTCGCATAACAAGCTTCTCCTCCAAGCTTGGAAACTTGGAATCCACGACTTCGTAATTACCAGCACGGTGTAATGGTGTGTCATGGGCGACAGGAAGCATCGTCATATCTCGCTAAATGAACCCTCTGGTTGGCTTCTAAGTTTATTTATTCTCATTGCTCACGGCTTCCCTGCTACCCAAATACAAAGCTAGAAACATTCTGTTTAAACACGGCGATACAGTTTCCAAGCATGTTGAATTGCGGAACTGTTCTGTCCCTGTTTCGTTTACAATTATTTCCATACAATTGTCATCCCATTTCGTTTGTGGCGCATTATTTGAAATGTACTCTCTGAACTGTTCCAGAACTCTTGTGTTGCTATCATTTTTAAACAAAGTGCTTCTAGATCTACATCTAAATTTGCCTGGTGCACCCCTAAAGAGATCTGTAATATACACATATTATTTGCAAATTCTAATCTGCTAATTGCAAAATCTATGGTTTCTGTATTTATTAAACTGTTTCATTTCAATCTGCATAATTAGATATCGATTCTAGATAACAATTGAAACAGGTAGAGTCATTCGTATTAATTGATTCGATACATCGATAACAAGAGCTTAAACGAACTAAACGTGAAGCGAATCGTAAGCGAAAAGAAGTTACTGCTCATAAATATCTGAGAAAATTAGTTCGCGGTATTTATCACCGGGCGTCAGCATCTTAATTACAGATTAAAGGCATTCAACGGTAGAACGAACAAACGAACGTTTTCTCAACGTAACGTTTATGAATGAGAACAATTGGCTAGTTAGCGTTCCTCGTGCCCCACCGTCACGCTCACTCTAATTTAACGTGTTACTCGGAAACACGGGATGCATGCCCGATTTGTCTCGCACCCAAAAGGAACACGCGATGCATCTCTCAGTAAAGAAGATGCACGACGCATGAAAAAAGGAAGGCGTGCAGGGAACGTCCCTAAGTCTTTAAATACAACGTGATCGATGATCCACCGGTGGGTGCGGCGAAAACAGTTTCATAAAACTGTTCGAGATTATTACGTTGGAAACTATGCTCGTTTTCCCATTATACAATAATAAAATTTTACTGTTTTCAATTGGCTTATTATAATATTCTTGTTATGTTAATTGTTCATTCTCTAATATTCCCATTCATTCCTATTTATGAGTCACGCTCAATATCTCTTGCCTTTTTGTTGATTTTTTGAAAGGATGCAAATCATTATTTTAAATAAACGAAGTAGAAATAAAAAAAATGAAGCTGCCAGTAATTTCAGATAAGAAAAAGCAATTAACAAAAAACCGTCTAACGATATAAACGCGGAATAATTCCGATATTACCTGGCTGCATCATTTTCCGCAATCGAACGATCGTCTTTAACCGCGAATTACGGTCGACGCAATATCCTGTAGCTGAAAAGTCGTAACGGCACGGGGAATCACGGTCGATGTTTCTGGTTCACCTTGCAGGTGCGCGGATTCAATAAACACGCGATGGAGAAGAGAAGAAAGTGATGGTAAAAATCGAAACGGAAGAGGAGAACGAGCCGTAGCCGTGCCCAGATTCGCGAGATGGAGACTTTCCTCGAGGCGCGAGTCAGTATAGAAGGCGCGTAAAATCAGGATCAGAAAAGGAGAAACATCCACGGGATCCAAGATGGGCAAGTGTTGCAGCAAACGGCAGGAGCCTCAACCTCTTGGTAAGTGGCCCGGCGCTTTTTCTTCGCGCGTTTCCTTTTTACCCTCGCGGTGGAACCGCGCAATGAGCTTTCTTTCCTAACTCCTTTTTCACCCCTCTTGTTTTATTTCGGTTTAAAGTATGTTCTTTCAAACTCCTGAATAAAGTTTCCTTGCGATCTAATAAAATTTTCTGCAGAATTTCGTGGGAATAAAAAAGCTGTATAATTATACGGAAAAGCGAGTTTCATTTTAAGCGATAATATTGTTCATATATCATTTTCAGAATATAATTTCTGTAGCGAAGATTAGGTTCCTTTGAATACATGAATTCGTATCAAAGCCATAGTTGTTATCGCACGTAGGATCATTTATCATGCTTCCCCGGTTTTATCCAGGTTACAAGAAAGCGGACACGGGGCTAAGCTCGAAACATAGTAATGGAGGCTCCTTGGACCGGTACACTGCTGACCCGAATCAGAGGGGCGTACAAGCGAGGGTGGACATCATACGTCCAAGGCCGACACCTTGTAAGCTCCAAATACCTCATCAGCCCCGTAAAACAAGCTCGCCTGTTGTGAAGCCTGCATGTGTGTATTTTTGTTTATTTTATATTTCATTTCTGTAGCATAGAAATTTTATCTTTAAGTTCTAGTTTAAGATTTTAGTTTGTAAGCCTTCGATTGATTTCGCTTAATCTTTGAACGCAAACCGTTCAGACTAATTTACCGTTTGAATAAATTAAAGATGAAACTTGTATTTCCTTCTCGATTTTGTTGCTTCTGGAAACTATTTTCAACAAAGCATTGAGGGTACGATCACGGTTAAATTAGAGAGATTGTTGTTTCGTTAATATTTATATAACGGTTATCACCGCTAGTTCCGCTTGAATCCAATCGGCACGTCGTCGATCGATATTCTATCAGTTCCGATTCCGACCGCAAATACCTCGATCAGGAACCGGTACAACACCGGCATCGGCTTCGGCATCACAATTAGTATTCGACGCGTCTTAAATAGCTTCCGTTTTACGGGCACGTGTTGTAAATTGATTTGTTCTCGTACAACAGCGCATTCGCAAAGGTCGAACAAGATCGTGGTCGCCCTGTACAATTACACCGCACGCGAGAGCACCGATGTCAGTTTCGTGAAGGGTGACCGAATGGAAGTATTGGACGATTCGGAACCCGACTGGTGGAAAGTTTTACACTTGACAACTTTGCAAGAGGGTCTCATACCTTGGAACTTCGTGGCCGTCGAGCGTTCGGTCGAAAGCGAGGAGTGAGTCCCGATGCCGAATTAGTTATTATTTCGATCGATAGCTCGCGACGCAAATTCAATAATAATAAAAGGTCCTATAAACAAATGATTTCGTGTCGCGAGCTGTCGATTTATTTTTTATCACCACGAATTTTACAAAACAATATTAACGCTGCTGGTTTAACGTCCAGTTGGTTTTTCGAGAACGTCTCGCGTAAGGAAGCTGGCAAGCTTCTCTTGGTGGACGAGAACCCTCGGGGAACATTCCTGGTGCGGCCGAGCGAGCACAATCCCAGGGGATACAGTTTATCCGTGAAGGATTGGGAAGAGGGAAGGGGTCATCACGTAAAACACTATAAAATTAAACCTCTCGACAATGGAGGCTTCTTTATCGCCACCAACCAGACATTCCCCACTCTACCAGCTCTCGTTATGGCGTACAGCAGTAAGTTGAAAACATCCTTCGGCAAGTTTTCGTGTCGTAGCTTCCATCATAATGCAATTTCAACTGGAATGTTTCAGAGAACGCGTTGGGTCTCTGTCATGTGCTCTCTAAGCCGTGTCCGAAACCACAACCGGACATGTGGGATCTCGGACCCGAGTTGCGAGACAAATGGGAGATCAATAGAAACGAGATACAGCTGATACGGAAACTGGGACACGGGAATTTCGGCGAAGTGTACTACGGTAAATGGAGAAACAAAATAGAGGTGGCTGTGAAGACGTTGAGACCGGGGACCATGTCGACGGAGGCGTTCCTCCAGGAGGCGGCGATCATGAAACAATTCCGACACCGGCACTTGGTCGCGTTGTACGCGATCTGTTCAAAGGAGGAACCGATCTATATCGTGCAAGAATACATGTGCAACGGTAGCTTGCTCGATTTCCTGAGGACAGGTGACGGCAAATATATGCAGTTCGAGGATCTGATTTATATCGCGGCCCAAGTGGCCTGTGGTATGGAACACCTCGAAAACAAACAGCTGATACACAGAGATCTCGCGGCGAGAAATGTGCTGATCGGCGAGAAGAACAAAGCGAAAATATGCGATTTCGGTCTCGCCAGGGCAATCGAGGACGACGAATACTGTCCAAAACAGGGAAGCAGGTTCCCCGTCAGGTGGACAGCTCCGGAGGCCATCGTTTATGGTAGATTCAGTATCAAGAGCGATGTTTGGTCTTACGGTATTTTGCTGATGGAGCTGTTCACTTATGGCCAAGTTCCTTATCCTGGTATGTATTATTATATTTCGATTTCAAGTCGTCACGTCATTCTATACAACAGAAATAATAAATAATAAATGTTAATTTTGTCTTGCAGGCATGCAAGGTCGCGAAGTGATTGATCAGATCAACAAAGGTTATCGGATGCCGAAACCGTTGAATCACCCGCTGCCGGATAGCATTTACCGGTTAATGTTGCAATGCTGGGACGCCAGCCCCGAGAAACGACCCACATTCGAGTTCCTCAACCACTACTTCGAGTCATTTAACGTCACCAGCGAAATACCGTATCTAGAACCGCCAACGGACTGATACACAGCTCACATGCAGAGTCACCTGGTGCCGCACGGTCATTTCCATCCAGCGCATATCAATTGCGCCATGGAGTTTTACGGTATTTACTGCTAGATCTCCAGCGAAACAGACAAAAACAACTGGAGGCTCTGTTGCCCTATTCCTCTTCGCATCGGCCACGACGGAGTCGTTGCACGAAATTGAATTTGATACTAAGGAGCATTTCACGTGATGAGATTTGGTGGCCGAGAATTTTGCTAATGTTACCAGATATCTTGAAGCAATCGTTGTTAAATGCTGCCAAAAAACATATCGCGGTGATCGCGGTTAATTTAAGAGGTGTTCTTTTCGACTCTTTTTTATCTTTACAATAGAAATCGAACATCATCGAGGAAGCATTTCAAGAACAATAATCTTGTGTGCCATTGGGACTTTATACGTACAACAAATCGTTCGTACTTCGAAGGAGTATCCGAACTCCGAACCCTTTACGACCAATCGTGAATAACTGCCGACTAATGCCGAGTCAAATATTGCGACTGAAACAAGAAGAAATATAGGAATCTCTCTACCCGCTACGTATCCAATATATATTATAGAATTTAAAATGGAATCGTTCATCGTTCGAAGGTATTTATATCTAACCATTTTCACAATTTGGAGAGTATATTAAAAGTAATTGACGAAGGTATCTTACGGAAATAAAATAAAATAAAAAAAATGTTTAGAGGGTAGAAAGGAACCAGTTGAGAACTAAAAACGTAGTATTTTAAATAGTAGACGATATAATCGATTATATTAGTCCGTCAGTGTATGAATACAATGCAGACAAGCGGAAGTGTTCGCGTAATTCGTATGTGTAATCCGCGCGCGATTGCTTCTTCGTTGATCACAGCCGATTTTTCCTAAGATCCGTTTCCGGGTGCATCGTTTCGTGCATTGAATGCACAAATCTGCGTTGGGATACAATCACGTTCTGTCGTCATGTACGCTACGGTTAAAATGAGTATTTCCGTTTGATTTCGACCGTCGAGTAGAACAGTATTTTATACGAGAGATTAATACGTTTTATACATGAACAAAAAACTTTTTAGATACATTTTTTGTTCCATGAGCAATATATATTAATTCGAAGGTACATATGACCGTTCTTCAAATAACTCTACATATATATTATTATTTTTTTCTGTGATCGCCTCCTATAAACGATAAATAACACGACGAACATACGTTTCATACATTTCTTCGTCGCGTTGGTTTAGTTACTTCCTCTTTCATATTTTTTGGCTAAGACGAGAGTAAGAAGATGTTACTAGCTGTAAAAGAAAAACGTACGTTATACGACCTTTTTTCGAGACTATAGGAATTTATCGAAAGAAAAGGGAATAAGTGAATCTAGAGATATGCTACTTGAGGTAAATGATTAAGTCATCGATGTTACTCGTACAAAGTGTCAGAAAAAAGTTGTAAATTTTCTACTAAACATACAGATGGTAGATTAGTATAGAGTTTAGGCGGTAGCCCGTGAGGTAGGTATGAAATCTCCTCGGAATGCGAAGCGAACTCGATTCATTTCTTTTCTCTTTCGTGATTCCGTTGTAAGTATAAAAATGTTTCACGGAACAAAAGTCGTTCAGATCCCGAGGATATGATATCGTTGTCTCGTATCCCGCGGAACGTATCGTTAGACGTAAGTTCTTAGACGTACATTGAACTATGTCACGATGAACAGATGATGAGCCATTATGACACTTTTAGATATTAAAGACAGTTAAACGAACAGGAACAAAAATAAAGAAAAAGAAGATTAAGTGAATGAGAGCGTCGAAAGGAGAACGAGTGAAAGTGACAAAAGTGTAAGTGTGTGAGTGGCGACGCTGAGAGAGAGAGGAAGAGAGTGAGAGAAAATGGGATTTCGAGCTTGTGGTGAGTTGTTACACCTGTGTATATGTACGGTATTTTTTTTCACGCGCGTCTTGCCGTGACATTAAGAAACCAGCAATAAAATGTCGCGCTCTTCTTATGGCCCCCCTCCCCCAAACTGTTGCTCAATCGTAGAAACCGTTCTCTCATGAAACTAAAAAGCCCGAACATGTTTGCACTAGCAAATTACAAACGTTCAAACGATATCAATGGAGATATGTACTTTCACGACGTAACGCAGACCTGGAACCATATTGCTTAGAGACAATCAGAAAATGAGCATTTCTGTTTCTGGACGATATGTTTCTACGTTTTGCAAATAGGCTTCATGGTTCACCGGGACTCGCGAACTCGACATTATATTGCCGCATAACATAGTATACCAATATAAAATATATAATGTTTTTTACTATGATTAGCGAGGCAAACACCATACCTTCGTTGTGTGAGTTGACTAATTTATTATATATATATATATATATATACATATAATATAAATAGGTATGATGCGGTGAATGCACGTGAAAAAGCATCATGTTTAAGTAGAGTTTAGAAAGGTAGCTGTATTACGTCCAGTAAACTTTTTCTATGAGCGTTTTATACCGATCAAAATGTTATTGCGTTTCACACGGAGAAATGGTCATTTTAAAGATTTTTCGCTAACGATCATGTTGTCGCCATAGTTCGTAGATTTGTATGAAATGCGTACGATCGCCGTACGAATTCGGCGGTATAGTTTTTTGTCCATTGTGGATGTATAGAAAGTAAAGTTTCAGTTCTCCATCCTGAATGTTTCAAACTGTCGCATGTACATGTGTATTACGTCATTTCATTCGAGCAAGACGAAGAGAGTAGAATATTTAAATGTTAAATACTGGTAAGGGCATCATGTGGCCTTTCCACTGGACCTAGAGACTGATATCGTTTAGACAAGAGGGACAAATCAATTGCAATTTCGAATTTTTCTATTGAATAATTATATTTGACAAAATTTCTCACACGTACCTAAATAAAAGTTTCGAGTTAATACGAAAGACAAATGCCATTACATGTATAATTCAAAACTATGTTTCACTTTTAAAAGCATCTGCTCTTCATTTACCCATAGGTAAATGATAATTTCAAGCAGATACGCTCCGTCTATTGCATTTAATAGATATCGAAAAACTGTTCGATAAGAAGGAACCAACAATTTTTAATCAGCGTATTTCGCGATGTATTCAAAGTCGAATTCTAATTGAGAGAAGCTGCACGTCTCAAAATTGCATTATACAATTTTTTCTAATATTCGTCGATCATTCATTGCTAACGGACGAATGTGGACTCTTAAGGCTCTAGGTTGAAACGTTTCGAACTTAATCTTTTACAGCGGATGGATGCTCGCTGTCACGATTATTGATCAAATAGTAATTTATAACTGTATTTCTATTTCTATTACTGTTAACGAGTTATTTTCAACGTTTAGTTATTAATTCGCGAATGATTGCTTTTATATGCCAGCTATGATTCGTATGTATGGCTTTCTTCTTCCGTAATTTTAACTGCGTCTCTCGATTTGGAGACCAAGTAAATAAGGATATCGATCATTTCCATTCTTGTATTATTCGTAAAATCTATCTGCACTTATGTGGCAAATCGTTTCCAACTTCGCCTGGTTTTTCTATTTAAACAAAAAATCCGTTTCGTTGTGGCTCCGTTCAAATGAAATTTTAATAAATCTGTGATATATATAGTGACAGACCTCATGTTTTGATACAGAGTTTGATTATTGCGCGGAGCTACCAACGAAATTTCAAGTGTCTCAGAAAATCTGTTTGAGAAATCATACGTTTGTAGATGTTTAAATGGGGGGGAAAAAAATAGAAAATGAGTACGGTCGTCACGTGATGCGCACACCAAATAGATGGATATTTTTTAATGCATTTAGGCTTTCGTCAAAGTTCTTACACAGTACACCGCGCGTCAACATGGTTCACTCGTACCTAAAGTAAAAATGGATCAATATATCGTCATTGTTTATGTACCAAAGCTTTTTATCATTAAGTAATTTAATGGTTACTTTGTATCATTGTATTAAGTACCATAAGCCTATGCAGATAAATATATTATGTATCATATTAACAGAAGATAACATTCTCACTCATTTCATCCACGTAAAATTATATTAAAATCTGTTCGTCAATGAACGCTAGACTGGGAATTGAAATAATAAGTCGCGTTAGTTGCAAGAAATTTATTCTAGTACCAATGTCTCATTTCATATTACAAAATTTTTTATAAACGAAG